ACAAAATATAAGACACAAGAGGTTTATCTATCTATCTATCTATCTATCTATGTATCTATCTATCTATCTATCTATCTATCTATCTATCTATCTATCTATATATATATATATATATATATAGTGTGTTTGTGTGTGTGTGTATTCCAACATAACAGGAACGGCTTGAGCAATTTCAACCAAACTTGGTACACAGATGACTTGCTCTCTGGAAACAAATACTGTGATGGTAAGACACCCCTAACATCCTTCGGGGTGTGTATTCTGTTAAGATACAGCCTGTTGTGCCTTAAAAATGGCTTCTTCCGTAGTGCCATAAAATGACTTCTACTGTACAGCGCAGTAGAGTTGCCATGGCAATGGCTTCAGAGTTCTCCTCAAGGGGGCTCCCTCTGGTAAGGGGAAAAATCCAACATTAGAAATTATGTTTGGTTCAGACATTTTCAACAAGGCTTTGATTATTTTTGAGGACAAATGTATGACCATGATCAATAAAACATTACTGGCACACAGGGAAAACATTTGTTTTATACAGGATTGGGATAAATAAATACTCAGGCAATGCCAGGTTATCAGCTAGTATACAGATAAAATCACTGTTATGTCAGCAGTTGTCTTTCTAGATTTTCCCCCTTTATTGAAATTTTCAATTCATGCATTAATTTGAATTTTGCAGCTAACCACTCATGAACCAATCTTATTTTATGAAATACTTGGAACTTTTTTAAAAAGTTTACTTTTTACAACTTATCTCTCTTAGTCACAGTAAAAGCAAAGCTCTCCATATATACACACATACATACATACACTGTATATATAATATTATTGGGTTTACAAGAACAAGGCCACCCAAGAAAGAATAACCTTATTATGAAAGTGAAGAACACCATATAGAAACATAGAAGATACAAACAGTTCTATGATTAAGATAAACAGGAACAAACTGATGCAAAACAAATGGGTATTAAAACAAGATTGCAACAAAGAATTCTTGACAGCAGATATTGCAGAAGATAAACAGTTACCCATCCTACTTCTCCATTTTGTTTGTTACATAATTATAGAAATTAACCAATGACAGCTTTTCTGTTGGATAGATCAGTGGCTGGCTTCCCACTAAATAGGGAAAAAAGTATTTTCTACAATACTGTCTTGGTATGGTTTCTTTTGATTGCTTAACATCTGTCTAGCTGTTCTTAGCTCTGTGTCAGCATGAAGCACGTTTATAGATTTGAATACAGCATATGTGTAAAATACATTTCTGATCAGGTGCATTGTTGATAAATAGGATCTCCATATTAGAACTGGGGAAATCAGTAAATGGCAGGAAGGAGAAATGAACAGCTTTTCCCTTTACTGCTGTCTAGGACAGGTAGTCTTTGACTGACAATTGAACCCAAAAGTTCCCTTGCTAAGCAAGAGAGTTGTGAATTTTGCCCCATTTTACAACCTTTCTTGCCATAGTTATTAAGTGAATCACCGCTGTTGTTAAGTTAGAACATGATTGTTCAGTGAATCTGGCTTTCCCATTGACTTCATTTGTCAGAAGGTCGCAAAAGATGATCACATGACCCCAGGACACTGCAACCATCATAAATATGACTCAGTTGCGAAGCATCTGAATTTTAATCACAACGACCATGAGGATACTGCCATGATTGTCAGTGTGAAAAAAGGATTATGTCATTTTTTTCAGTGCCATTGTAACTTTGAACAGTCACTAAATGAATTGTTGTAAGTCGAGGACTACCTGTAGTTATTCAGACTTCGTAGCCCAAGAATAATAGTCCTATGTTAGGTAGTTAGACACTGTTCTTATATTGATTAGAATTCTTTATTGGCGAAGTGTGATTGGACGCACAAGGAAATATTTGTGTGTATTCTTTCTTGGGGGGGGGGCGGGGGGAGAGCAACAGAAATCTACTTGAAACAAATTCTTCCCAGGCATTGTTTTGGCAGGACGGTTATGATGGCGGAAGGGAGGGGAATGGTGACCATTAGGTTTGATGCAAACTGACTGATCCTGTTTTCACATGCTAGGAATATTAAGAAAGCTTTTGTCCTAAGGAAATAGGTTAAAATTCTAACCAAAAATCTTTATGAAAGTTAATTTTCTTATTACTGTGAGTCAACACTGATTGAAAGGGCATTCACACACATGCTATATAAGTTTCCATATATATCTTTATAGTCTCTTTATACATATCCTCAGGTTGTGCATGGAAAAGTAACTTCACTCCAGAATCTTTCCTGATCTGTAATATGTCTTTGAAACTTTTTCCAGTACTTTGCATAGATTTTTAAAAGTTTATTTGCAGCAGAATCATAGCACCCTGTGATCTTCTGAAAGCATTTTATCTGTACACTCACTTCTTGTTTAGCAACTATGTTCCATTCCAGTGATCAAGTCATTAAACAAAATGATCACTAAGTGAACAAATGATTGAGAAATCACTGATTACTATTTTTTCATTCAGATAAAGTTTGGTTGCACAGCTAAGTCAGTATTACTGTCCCGGGCATGTGTTGTCAGGAGCACAAAATTTAGTTGTAAATGCATGCGTTAGTCAGAAAATGAACTTTATTACCTTTTTATTTGTGAATAGTTGCTAACTGAGGTCACTAAATGAAGAGTCGGTGCATTTCCTTCTTGCAAAAGAAAATGTTGATACTTGAAGTTGAAATGTTCAACTCATCTTTAAATAATGTTTGATTTTGTTTATCTCTTATGAGATTGACCTGATTCCCCCCCCCACATCTAAATGATACCACATCTAAATGCTAAACCTTCTAGCCACGAACCTTTTCATTGTTAAACTAGAAAGCAGTACTATTCAAATTATTTCATCCATTTACATTTTGACCTTTTTTTAACCATTTTTATCTTTTGATAGACAGAAAGGTGGCAGAGGTTGTAAAATGCTTATATTTATTATTTGGGAAAGGATACAAAATGAAGCACTTACAATGGCAGAAATTGCAAGACACTGCCTCGAGACAGTGCCTATTTGGGAAAACCCAGAGGGCTTCAGTGAGAGAAGGTTTGAGACTTTCAGCCTTCCATCCTAGAGGTTCAGCTGTTTTTATTACATGACCGTTAAACTATGTAGGTTATTTATAAGTAATGGCGAACCTTTTTGGCACTGAGGAAGAGCTGCCCGGGGGCCATTCGCATGCTGGAAAAAGAATTTCTGGTTTCCGGTGCGCGCAGACCACCAAATGTATTGGTTACTGATGTGCATGCGTGTATGGACGATCAGCTGGCCAGCGTGCATGCTCACACCAGAAAATGGAAGACCAGTTCTTCCAGTTTCCAGCACTGCCACACACATGAAGGCCAGCTAATCGTCGTACGTGCATGCGTGTCAGAAGCCCAGAAGAGGAATGGGCAACACGCATGCCAGGCGATATTGCTCCATGTGCCACTTTGGGGTAAGTTTATAGGTTTGCCATCATAGTTATATATCTTAAAATTATTATGGAATAGTCAAACCAAACATAGGATCCAGTGTTCAATAAGTTATTTAAAACTTGGGGATTATTTTCTAACAATAATAGTAAATTGCCTAAAGCTATCTACATACTTCCTCTTGAGAAACAAAACTATTTATAATTACATGATTTTGCATGGGTTATTATATAAATAAATGTATTTCATATATAGATATGAAAAAGAAAATGTTAAATATTCCCTTTTGCATATCTGTCACATGTTATTTTGCCAATCCAGTTGTATATTGTTTAGAGTCCAGTTATTTAAACCCATTAAACTGGTTGCTTTTCTCCTGAGAACTTGGGTAATAGCATCCCAGAAAAGAAGTACACTGACATGAGAGAAAGATTAAAAATAATAATATTTGGAGAACCCCAAATATTATTAAATTAAATATCTGTGGTAATGATATGTTGCATAATCCATCCTCTGCTTCACTCCTAAAAAATCAAACGTGTACTTCTTTTTTTTAAATGTACAGTTGGATTTTTCTCCTTTCTTTGCCTTTCTTGCTGTGATGATTCTTGCTATTTCCAGCATTTTTGAAATCAAGATTCTGGAGGCACATTCAAATTCAAAGGGCTTATGTCTATCTTTTTCCATTTAAAGTTGCTGAAAGGGGTGTTAGTTGTGTGTCTCCAATATCCCGGGAGCTTTCATCAGGAACAGTTCTGGCAGCACTTGATTCTGAAATACTTCCTTGACGCCTCAATATTTTCATTATTGTCCTTTTGTATCCTCTGCAAGCAAAGAAATAGATGAAAGGATCCATGCAGCAATTTAAGTTCATCAGGAACACAGTATAATGGAGTGTCTTTTGAAAGATCTTCTGATGGCTGCAGGGAATATTTCCTTGCACGAGCTTCTTAATCATGTATATAATAATGGCAAGATGGTAGGGAGTAAGACAGATTACAAATACAACGATAATGAAGATAATTATATTAATTGCCTTTTTGTTTGTTCCTGATTTTTCTGCTAGTGGGTTTTGCTTTGCAGTTTGACAGAGTTTGTAACTGATTTTTGAATAACAGATTATTGTAATTCCAAGGGGAACCACATATCCAAGTAAACAGGCACCAAGAAGGATCAGAGGGAGGTGTTCAATCTTTTCAAAGTTTGGATATTCCATGCATGTGGTCCTTTTACCTTCTTGATGTGACATGGGTATTCTAAGCAACGGAAGAGTTTGGGCAAGTACAAGACACCATACAAAGCAAAAAATGTATGTGGCACTTTTAACTGTTCTGAATTTGGTTTTTAAAGGATGAACCACAGCTACAAATCTATCGATACTCAAGCATGTCATAAAATTCACAGCTGCATAAATGTTGATATAAAAGAAAAGGGCTGTAATTTTACAGAATACCTCTCCAAATGGCCAGTGAAAACGCATTGCATAGTATGCTATTCTGGTAGGTAAAGCTGTTGTAAAAAGAATGTCTGACACAACAAGATTTGTTGAGTAAATAGTTGTTGAATTGATTTTTCTTCTATTTTTTACAATCACAGCGAGAGCAAGTCCATTTCCAAGTAGACCAATTATGAAAATAACACTGTAGAAAGTAGGCAATAAAATACTTGCTGAATCTTCATGTTCATATAAATCACAAGGTTCGATTTGTGTTTGATTTGTTACAGAAGATGGAGAGCTTGTTGCCATGGTTAATATGACTCAGTTCAGAAGGCCTAGAAAACGTAACAGAAGAAACAGAAAAATGTTAGGGTGAATTCAGATGTTCTGTTGTTTTTTTTAATAGCTAGCTAAGCATTTTAGAAGTCCAGAAATTAGATAGTATGAAATTGTCTATTCATTTAAAAAACAAAACAAAATTCCATCTTGTTAATATGCAAATGATTTTTGATTGAACCCTATTAGATAATCATAGGTAATTAAAAAAAATGATAGCAATAGTTTAGAACAAGTGTCAAACTGGCGGTCTGCGGACCGGATGCATAGTATGCAGGCCACGGCCACCTCAGCTCTGCAAAGGGGAAAAACATGAAACATCACATGATGGCAATGTGACGCCATGAGTTTTACACCCGTGGTTTAGAAGCTGAAAACAGCTGGGCTGTAGTTTCTTAAATATTAACATGTGTGCTCTATTAGGTTCAGCTTAACAAATAAATATATAAGTTATGAATGGAAAAATATGCTTTCTGGAAGTGAAATATCACAGAATCCTTTCTCCTCTCCCTCCCCTAAAAAAATCATCTAAAATCAATTTGGAAATATGTGACACCTACATTGAATTAAATGGAGATAAATAATAGGGAGAAAATGATTGGTGATTAAAAACATTAGGGCAATAATATAAAATATGATTACATACTGAAATTCTATTTTGTGCTGTCACAAAAATCATGTGGTATTTAGATTTTTTGTTTGTTTTAATGTTAACTTTTCTCCATTGACAGGAATTCAATATTAGAAATATTTGACATGCTTACATGTGTCCAAATTAAAGGTCTCTGCTCTTTATCATATTTAATCAAAAGATACCCTCTTTCTATTATAAAAAATAATTGAGGTGGCCTACAATTTAAAGCACAACAACAAATAAATCTTCTAAAACTAAAAATATCCTTAAAAATAAGTTTCATTGGATTAGTAAACTAAGCAACATCAAGGGAGATTGTTATAGTTATAAAGACCCAATGAGTTTTCAGTCTTTCATGAAGTTGTTTTTTTTTGTTCTATCTAGTGTACAGTTAGCAAACCAAGTTGCTTAACAGTATTACACCATTCTTACAGTAAGAATGTAAGCAGGATATTAGTCCACTTTGTACTGAGTTTACTTTGAACTTACCCATCATAGATATGTATACTGGAATAAGGAACAAGGCCTATTGAAATGAATGGTCGTGCAGGACTTGTATTTAATTATATGTTTTTAAATTAAATATTAGTTTAGGAAAAAGTGAAAAATAAGGACAATAGAGAAAAATAAGAAAGAGGATATATTGCCATAACTATTCCAATTTGGGACCTGTTTAATGTAAAACAGGTTTCAAGTATGATACCGGAGATAACCAGGGTGAGTTTTGCAGCAAGCAAAAGAAAACTATAGATAGGAAAGCACAGAGGCTCCCTGCCATTTTGGCTCCTGTTTGCCTTTATGATTTCTGGGTGGACAGTTCTATGTTAGCTAACAAACTGTGCTGACATGCTATTGCTATGCAACAACATTACTTCTAATATTATAACTACTAATATCCCATATATTAGAATTAACTCTATACTAAAATTTGAGCTGCAATAAATCTTTATGCTCTTTTGAACTTCCTGAATTTCCTGATTTCTCTGGCACTTTTATGCTGCTTTCTCCAAATTTTAGTATAGAGTTAATTCTAATATATGGGATTTTAGTAACATGTCAGCACAGTTTGTTAGCTAACATAGAACTGCCCACCCAGAAATCATAAAGGCAAACAGGAGCAAGAGTGGCAGGGAGCCTCCGCGCTTTCCTATCTATATTTTCTTTTGCTTGCTGCTCTTCTTTTCAATTTTTCAATATAAAAATTTATATCAATTTTTCATACACTGCAACTACCATAAAGGTAGTTACTTTTTGTTGGCACTCGGACATTTTTATTTTATGTTTATGGCTTTTAATTATTTATTCTTGCTTTGTTGTATTTTACCCAAGCTCAAAAGGTTAATAAATCAGTTTTATTTAAATTTCAGAAGCAGATCATCCTGTTTGCTTTTATATGGAAATGGTGGATGAGAAGTACAGGCATCTTGTTTTAAATCTTTGGCCTGTATTACACTTGCATTTTTAATATTAATAGCTATGGGATAAGAGCTGTGGTGGAGCAGTGGTTAGAATGCAGTACTGCAGGCTAACTCATGGCTCACTCCAGGATTCTGAACACTCAAGGTTGACTCAACCTTCCAATCTTCCGAGGTCGGTAAAATGAGGATTGTTGGGGGCAATATGCTGACCCTGTTAATCGCTTAGGAGATGACTGGTAAAGCACTATGAAGCGGTATATAAGTCTAAGTGCTATTGCTATTCCTATGGGATACAATTCTGTAACCTAGATGTTAATTAGATCCTTAAACTGACAGTTCTCAAAACTTGTCTATTTTTTTTTAGTAAGGAATTTCTTGAAAGATAGATTTGTAGTTTTGTCAGAATAAAATTCCATGAAACTACACCATATGCATTGAAATTAAGTTCGATAAGCGAACACTATTATTTTGGAAATGATAAATGTTAACTTAAAAAGTAAAATATACGTGATATAGTACATTTTAACTGTTTTAATTTTTTTAAAAACCCATCAGAAAAATTAAAAAAAGAAAAGAAAAATATATTTTATACAGAGGAAGTCAGTAAGACCTTCATTAGTCCTTGATCATGGAGAATAAGAATGATTAAACTTTCCATTATACTGTCAGAAAACAAATTTGGCAGAAGCATTTATATGTAATTGATCCAAAATAGTAATCCTGGGGTTGCACTGGATTTTCAGCATTGTATTTGCAGCATCTTTTGCTGGAAATATCAGTTTGGTAAAGGCATAGCTCTTAATATAAATCCCAAATGCTTGGTATATAGTTCAGGAGTACATTTAAATCTCTAAGCCATATTTTAAACAACACATTATCAGTCTTATGGATATTAAACCAAAATGGACAACGTTAGGATAAGCGTGTATCATTAGTGAATTTGTCCCCTCAACCACTCTGCACTTTCAGCATATTGAGTTTGACCGCTAACTTTTTAAAAACATTCTCTGAGGTGTCCAATAAATCTGAAAGTTTTTTTTTTAAATTGTTATAATATCACAAGAAGCATATTTTATATTCTTTTAAACCCCTACCTATTGAATTTGTTTCAGCTTGTTATTCCACAGTTGTTGCTAGTATCTTACCTTAACTCTACTCATTAATTTTTCACATTTTAAAAAAGCGCTGCTGATACCATGCAAAAGATTTACATACTAATATTGTGAATAATTTTGGAGTTTATATGTTGCTGGTGTATCTGGACCAAATTGTGAAATCAAGATAGACTTTAAGTATACTCCAGGGGCAATTTTCAGCAGTCTAATCTCCTCTGACAGGAGAGTTGGGTGAATTAAAGACTTGATTAGCAATAACCTAATCCAAAGAGTGCCTCCTTTTTCATGACTTTTCCCTCAAAATAATATCTACAACTTTCAAACTGGAGTTATCCTAAAAGAGAAATTTGTTAGCTAAATAAGTGTCACCAATATGCCAGCATGTGCTCAAAAAAGTGGAATCAGCTGCCCGTAAACTACTGCCTTTTTAAGATCTTTCAAATACTTTTGGTCCAATTAACTATCCGGAGAGATACTACAGGAATTCAGTTAGTCCAGCATATAATGAGTCCAAGACCAATGAAATGGCAGTAGACAGCACCCTGTTCATTGAGACATATTTCTGGGCAGAACTTTGACTGTATACAATATTCTTGAGAAAGTAAGATGATTTTTCCAAATGTTTAATGCCATATAAAGATGAAATATAATAAAACATTTTAATGGAGGAAGACTGAACTATATGATATTTTAAGTAATGAAAGGGAATTCCAAAAGTTGCCTTTGATTTTTATAATGTTTATCTTAGAGCAAAGTTAAAACAACATAACACAAATTGTTTCTGTGACTTTTTGCTTTGTCCTGTGATGAATTTTTTAAATAGTTGGATGTAGTTAATCCTTATATTTTTGCTATTCAAATAAGAGCTGATTATAATCCCAGAATAAAAGCCTGCTGCTCATTTGTTTGCTTTGATGATGTTTGATAAATATTCATACTTTACAATAATTAATCTATTGAAAAAATAATTCTGGCTATACTTACGTTTTGCTACTTCATAAAGTCCTCTGCTTGTGTTCTTTGTGGCGGTACATTTCATATGCAACTGTTTCCCCTTTTGTATATTGTTTAAAACTGATTAGGTCACACTCCCCTTTTATACAGATGAGGGCATTTCCTCTCTCTCTCTCTCTCTCTCTCAACCTGAAGTATCTAATTGTAAAAAAAATTCTGGTTAGCACATCCCAGATAAAATAGTAGCCTTTGTAGACATAAGTAATGCAGAAAGAAGGAGCAGAATAAAGAACAATTTTGCAAAATAAGGTGAAAGTATATAATGTTCAGTGTTCGTTGCTGCTGTTGCAAGCATTGTGCGCTTTCCTCTCCTGTGAGAGAGGCTTTTTTCCAGTTCCAATCTTACAGTGGTAGTATCTCTTGAAAACGAAAGATCAAACTTCCCTGTAATTGAGACATTTGTGTGTTTTGTTTTAATGTACCCTGTCTATTCGCATTTCAAATTTCGCATTTCAGCTGACAGTTTTTCTTAAGATCTTTCTCACTTCCTACTCATTGTCAGGGCGAGGGTAGAGAGTTTTGAGGGTCCCTTCCTATGGACCAGTTGTATTTTTAAACTAAACTGTGCATTTCCCATGTATATGGAATTATATATGAATGACACATATCTCTAGACTAGCCTACAATAATATTGCCAAAGGCTATTGATGGAAAAAATGTTACATTAATGCAGAATAGTTAATTGTATAGTTGGGCAAAGATAAGACACAAATTCAGTGCAGGAAAGAAGTATGCTGCAGCGAGAATGAGCATAAAATGCAGCCACTGCAATATAGTCTAGTTTCCAGGAAAGACAATGGTAAGACACTCCTATAGCAGAAGTTATAAGCTCAATTTGTTTCTTTGCTATATTCTGTAATATTGAAAGGGGAAGATACTTGAATAGTTTTAGCTTTATCATTCAGTAACTATTTTGTTCAATTAAATTTGAGATTTTGTGAGACAAGGACAATAATTCTTTTCTATTGTACTGTTACATCAGGTTTCACTTGTAGTCTTGGATACAAAATAAATAATATTTGTGATTTTGTCAAAGCTTATTCAAATCAAATCAAATCAACTATTTATTATGGTCCCAGGCCAGAATATGTCTATGTCAAGGCTTAGTGAGACTCCCCAGCAGTGGACTTCAGTTAAACAAGAGAGGATAGAAAAGCATTTTACATATTGTGAAACATAAAAAATAACTCTTAGACAACAGTTTCCAATATAATGGATTTATATTTTGGGGGGATGTACAATGGTATGTATATAATTAGGCAGATTGGTCAAAAAGCTGTCTGCATATTTTTGTCAGCAGTGTGGTGCTCTTGGCAACACTGCAACTACCAGAGCCCTCGACAACTTGATATTAATTGATATTTTTTAAACATAGGAAATTGAACTTTTTAATGTTCCAATTTCCTGAATGTCCCTGACTCTGACAAAATCCCAGGACTATTTTCAGATGAAAAGGACCGGCTAGTTGTAAGCTAAAGTTTTGTTGCTTGCTAGCCACTGGGCACTAAAAGAAAAGAAATCTAATTAATCTGGAAAAATGTATGAGTAGTCTTGTTTGCCAGGAATAACTGAGTCAAAGAAAGAGGTAGTGTGATATATGAACTGCTACATTTATTAACAAGTTTGAGGGGTTAGTTTTACCCCATAAGAGGTTTATAGATGGTGGGACGAAACCTTTGTCAGTCAGTTGTGTTATGCAAATGTGGATAAGAGGGTTAAATCTAATGTTGACAGATAAAATCCTAGACTGACCCACAAAAAGAAGATTGATGCACCAACACTGTTTCTTTTCCATATTGCTTTTCATTCTCCCGCTGCCCCATGGATTGGGAAATAAGGGCAGAAGGGAAATGGTAAGCCACCCCAGAGATGAGTTCCTACCAGTTCGCACCTATTCGGTAGAACCGGTTCGTCAAATCTACCGAACCGGTTAGAAGAGGTTCCACCAGTGGACCCGGAAAGCAGGCCACACCTACAGAAGAGGTTCCAAAAAATTTTGAAACCCACCACTGAGCCACCCCATCTGTATTGGCAGTTGTCTCATCAGGCCACCGTGTTGTTGTTTTTCTAAATTGTCCATCAAAACCAACAGTGGTAGGAAGTGACAGATTTTAATTGCTTCTGTTTGACCAAGCCAACTTTTATTGCACTATATGGTTCCATTTCTCTGGGATAAGTATGTCATGTAGATACTTCTACTAACTTCTCTAAGCTCTAAATAAGTTCACATTTTCCCAGCCCTTACACCAGTGTATGGGCTCAAGTCAGATGAACAAGTATGCAGGCATAGCTCCGATTAAAGATTTCCCACAAGATCACTTTGACAATAGAAGTATTCCTATAGAGCAGACCTACACAACAAATGGCCCATAGGATGCATATGGCAGCCCAGAGGTTGTCAACCTTGTGAGATAGTCCACTTCCAGAAGTCCTAGCCCTAATGTTATTACAGATGACATTAACAGAATCTTGCAAGTCTGAAAAGCCAAGAAAGTGGGGAGGCCTCCTTTGAGATGTTTGTCATGCCCCTGTTCTATCTGCAGACTCAGATACTGCTTATCTGACTACTGTCTAATCTATGGGTCTTCTCTTATCTTCCAAGGTCATCCCACCTACTATTACACCATTAAAAACAAACAACCCAATTCACTGCCATCAAACATCACACAGGTAGGAAGGATCTGCTAGTTCTTTGCAGTTTCTTCCACCACAAAAGATATGCTGCCAAATACCTTCAGGTCTCATGGATGCTGCTAGCGGCTGCTGCTGCACTGATAGCCTCCAAACAATTGATCAGCAAACCCACTAGTCCTCTGTGACCCAAAATTATTTTAAAGATATCAACCTGGCCTTTCCCCATGTATAAGTTTTGTTGGCCTGTGGTGGAAGGATTTGTCCGGAAGAGAATGGTCAGCTACAAAAGATCAAGAAATGTAAGTCTGTGGATATGTGACAAGAAGTGTGACAAATAAGAAGAACTGGCTTCCCGGGGTTTCTTTTCCTCATTTTTGGTAGCAGCTCTCCAGCTTATAATGAAGATGTTGGGAATCATAGATCAACAAGAGACATTAGCCTTTTGTGATGCTGGGGAATGTATTAATGAGAAAGATCTCAGAAATCTGTTTTTTGCTGCACATTTGTGTTTGTGTGAAGCAAGAGAGAAAGGGAGAAAAAAATGAGTTATTTTGATCTTTAAGTAGAATAAGAATGCTGTGGTGTTAAAAAGGCTATCAGAATCAACCATCAATCAGTGGAACTTTCCCCTCATTAAGAGGAAGGGTTGGGGAAAACTGCCTTTTTTTTAATCCTGTTGAACATACTTGACATTTAAAACTTATGAAATAGCTGAAACTGTCTATTATGCAGGAACAAAAATAAATTAAAATTATTGCCTTAATTCAAAACTGTACAGAGAAGAGGAAAATATAGGGTTTAAAGGCTTTCTAATGTACTATAGTGGCAAATCATTGTTAGTTCGCATATCAAACTAAGCAGAGGTGGGTTCCTACTGGTTTGGCTGAGTAGGTGGTAATTCGGCTGCCCATGAACCTGAAGTGGTTCTCTTGTCAGCGGCGCCATCTTTATTTTTGGTTTTGTGTATGTGAGTGCAGGCGTGTGTGCAATTTTTTTTGCGCACCGAATCAACAGTAATGCCGGTAGCAACCCACCCCTGAAACTAAGCCTTAATATATAACTTAGTGGTACTTCCATAATATGCTAACCAAATTGCTTGGGTTTATGCAACCTACTGAACCAAAACTTGACCCAAATTGACTAAATATAAGAGCATCAGGCTAGAGGGAAATTAAAGCCAACATATATACAAGGATGTGGTAGGACTTGGATACCATGAGATTTGATATTAGCAGTACTAATTTCTTCTTTATGATTTATTATTTTTGCTGTGAGTCACCCAGGGTTATTGTACATAAGATGGATGGCCATTTTTTAAATAAATAGACAGAACACATTGAGAAAGCATAGTTAAAGCAAATGTGTTGTGCAGATTCAAGTCAATATTTCAGTCAATATGTGCCATAATGTTACATAAATGAATGTGTCTGTAATAAATTTACTGTTCTTCACAGTAATTCATAAATATTTTGATGACACTTCTCTTAAAAGAATGCAGTTTTAACCCCACTCTAAAGATGTACTTTAAAAAAATGGCAAAAGTTGGTTTCTTAATTTAATATAATTAATTTTAGTTTGTTGAATTATGGATGAGCAAGTCTGAATTGTAGCTTTCTGCATCTGTTTGAGAGGATACGTTTAGTATTCTGTCAACCCAATCAGAGTATTTATAAAAACAGAAACATCCTTGAAAATAGCTGGAAAAAAAATTACTTCTTTAAAGGAGCATCTGTGGATTATGTTTGAGTTCAGATGGAGGCTGAGATTTTTGAGATACAGTTGCCTTCAACAGATTTGAAAGATTGAATAATTAAAAGAAAATACCATTTGCACTGATTTTCATTGATTTCTTGCAATATTTACTTGTGTGTCAAAGTACCAGCTCAATATAAATTATCCTTTGTGGAGTCACTGGTGGTCTCTGACTGTGGTACTTTGGTTGATGCTTGCAGACATTTTGTTACCCAACTAGGTAACATCATCAGAACACCCCAAGGACTGCACAGTTCAAGCCTAAACTACCTATTGTATATGCTCTTCTCTTAAAACTATCGCTTGTTTTCAAGTATTCAAATGTATATTTCCTCCCTGCTTTTATAAAACTGAATACTTTCTGGACTATTTGTATATATAAATCACTCCTAATATTTGTCAAGGGTGATCAAGAAGAATAGATCATGCAGAAGATAAGACAGAGATGTTATTTCTACCAAGTGATTGAGTATCAAGGGAAGGAAGTAGAAACTCATTTTCTAGACTTTACTCATTGATGTAAAGTCAATTATGGCTTATTGGGTGGTTTAAATAAGAAGAGGCAAAGGGCTCTCTTATACTGGGTGCACTTTTAAAAACTAATTTAACACCCCCCCCCCTTAAAAAAAAACCCTTTTGTGATATTTAAAATGTGTCTGGATAAACCTG